TCGGGGTTAGGGGTTTAGGGTTGAGGGGGTTTAGAGAGCCCAAGAAATTACGTGGAGGGTCAGGGGAGTTAGTAACTGGGTAATAAGTAGACTTATAAGTACCTCAATATGGATCCTAATGAAGGTTTCGAGAGTTATTCTAACTCTATGAGATAACTGCTTACTAAATCCCCCGACCCTCCAAGTACTGTGCCCTAAAACCATTAACTCCAACACACAAAGTGGTAGTGTTGCGGTGAAGGGTTTAGTTTTGCTCGCTTCAAACAGTTTTCCAGACACAGCTTGCCTTCGACCCTTGCCCTAAACCCAAAGCCCTAAGCCCTAAGCACTGCGTGCAGACGAACAAAGAAAGCGTCACCCCAACTTAAAAAAAAAAAAAACTAAACCCTAAACCCTAAGCCCTAAACCCTAGACCCTAGACCCTAAACCCTAAACCCTAAACCCAGCCTTGAGCGAACGGTTCCGAAAGAAGTAGTCAGACTGTCGTCTTTCCTAGGTCCTACCTAGAGTCTCCATTGCAGTTCCTTTGTTTGGGTTTAACCAATTATATATATTAAGGATTGTATAAGGTACCCCAAAAAGGAACTAAATAGTTCCTTTTTGGGGATACCTTTTAGGATCCTTAATATATAATTGGTTAAACCAAAAAAAGGAACTGCAATGGAGACTATAGGCAGTGTTGAGAGCATAGGGGCCGGCATGGCACTTGGCACAGCGACGGTTCGGACTTCTCCACTCATCACCTCGTGTGTATGGGAGATCTCCTCGATAGGATAACACTGGGTTTAGGGTGTAGTGTTTAGGTGCATCTCCTCGATAAGATAACACTTTCAGTAGTTGAGCGGTCCAGCACGAACAGCACGCAAATGGCACCCTCGTGTGCACTGGCAGGTTTCGAGATATGGGGTTTCCGAAAATAGGGGACCCTAGTATAGTACCCTAAATAATAGGATCCTTATTATAAGGACCCCAAAATAAGGTACCCCTAATTTTCGGAAACTCCCATATGTATCTGGCTTCATACAGACAGTACAGACACCTGTCATCTTCGGAGGGATCACCAGAAGAGCGGGGGGGTGGTGGGATTGGAAGTACAAAGTCTAGGACATTTTCAGGTGGGTAGTTACCTCTATAGGAGCCTTATAGAAGGTCTGTATATACTTGAAAGAAGCCTTATAGAAGCCCTATATACCCGAAACTCCCCACCTGTAGTTTCCTTTAACAAAGAGCTTGTTAGAAGATGAATAGCCACATTCTTCAAGCGCACTTCTGCAGGTTTTTCTGGCCGACTCCCCCAACAAGGAGGAGGTCCGGATATCTCCAGGTAGTATAGGCTTGGAATGAAGAGTAGTGCAATTTTTACTGATATCCCCCTGTATCCCATCCCCCATGGTATCATCTTTGCATGAGACCCCCTAGTCTAACCATGAAGGCCCTATACAGGATGAACTTCCCCTAAGGGTCCAACTTGGGTTACGGATAGTGGTTTTGTCGGTTAGTATTCAGAAGAGTATATGATTATTAGGTAGTTGG